TGAATGAGTGAATGAATGAATGAATGAATGAATGAATGAATTCCTTATTGGCCAAGTGCGATTGGACACCCAAGGAATTTGTCTTGTCGATCAGTGGCTGAACTTTACGTGGCCCTGGGTTCAAAGCAACCTTCCTCTCCTTAATGGTTCAAGACAGGTGACGTGCCTGTGGCTTGGGAAGGCTAATGGGGAGAATAACAAGAGCTGGGAGGGACCCCAGAGGTCTTCTAGTCCAACCCCTTGCTTGAGCAGGAAACTGGAGACACCACTTCAGACAAATGGCTCTCCGGTCTCTTCTTAAAAACCTCCAGTGACGGGAGAGACCCACAACTTCTGAAGGCCGCCCATTCCACGGGTTAATTCTTCTCCCTGTCAGGAAATGTCTTTTGGGTTCCAGGTTGGATCATAGAATCCTAGGGCTGGAAGGGTCCCCGGAGGTCTTCTAGTCCAGCCCTCTGCTCAAGCAGGAGTCCCTATATCATCCCAGACAAATGGCTATCCAAACTCTTCTCCGAGACCTCCAGGGATGGAGCTGCCGCCAACCTCTTGAGGCCACTTCTGTTCCGCGGGATAATCGTTCTCCCCGTCGGGAAATTCTTCCTTCATTCTAGGTTGCTCCTGGATGGGTTTCCATCCGTTGCTCCTTCTCCTGGTGCTTTGGAGAACGGTGGCCAAGTGTGGTTGGACACACGAAGAACTTGCACCAGGACAAATTCCTTGTGTGTCCAACCGCAGTTGGCCAATAAAGAATTCTATTCTATTCTACTCTACTCTACTCTAACAGGTTGACCCCCCCCCACTTCTCTGGGGCAGCCCCTCAAATACTGGAAGACTTGGTGTGATGACCCAAAGGGGCGTGGCACCAAGGCCACGCAGTCCGACAATCCGTAGGAGTCCCTTTACGAGCTCCGACTTTGCCCCACAATGTCCTGGTTCCCTTCTGGACTGGAGGAAAAAAAAACTCTCCCAGGAACAGCCTTGGGCTGCAGAGACTCAAGTCCAAAACATGGTCAACACAAACTGGAACTAGAAGTCCAATCAAGGCAAAATGAGGTCATTTTAGTCTGGCGGGGCAGGAGAAGGAATCGCAGATGTGAAGGAACGGCAGTAATTCAACACGGTTGGGAAGACGCCAGGAACACACATAACCAAAGTCAACACATGATAAACCATGTTTGCTCCCAGAAAACACCACTCTCAGCTCGCATCTCTTTTAAACTCTCATTCCCAGCTGTGGCTAATGAAGGGACTCAGGGCCCTTTCCTCCCCCCGTCAGCCATGCAACCCACGTTGCTCCCTTCTCCGTTCTTCCCTGTGTGCCCTAGGATGAAGAGGGGCGGGCTGAGTCTTCCTCCGAACTCCCTTCTCCCCTGTTCTACCTCTGCCCAGCTGGACTTTGCCCTTCCCCAGTTTCCTCCCCAGCCAACGGAGCTACACCCCCCACCACCCTGTGTCAGCTGTCCATCTCCCTCCTCGGATTCCGACTCCGACAGGGGCAGGAGACTCGCTATCATGGTTTGGGCTGCCCTTCTCTTAACCCCTTGTCTTTCCTTCTCCTGCTTAGACGTCACCGAGGCCATCTTTGACTTCATCCAGAAAAGCCGGAAGATGCTGGTGGTCCTGAGCCCCGAATATCTTCTGGAGAAGAGCATCAGCCTTCTGGAGTTTAAACTGGGCCTCCTTTGCCAGAACAACATTGCCACCAAGCTGGTGGTGGTGGAGTACCAGCCTCTGCCCCGCGCCCACCCCAGCGTCCAGCAGCTGAAGGAATCCGTGGCTTTCGTGGTCTGGAAAGGGGAGAAGTCCAAGCCCCTGGGATCCAAGTTCTGGAAAGCCTTACGCCTGGCCTTGCCCCTCCAGAGCCTCGGCACCTGCGGCCACGCCGTCTGGAACGAAAGCAGCTCCTCGCATTCGGACACCAGCTTGGACCAAGCTCAGAAGAAGAGGAGCAGGTTGAAAGGCCCAACGCTCAAGGCCAAGGCCGTCCCCGTCCGAAGAGGTCCGGCCTCCTTGCCCAGAAGGAAGACCAAGCCACAACCAGCCAAGCCCTTCCTGGCTTGCCGCTGTTGCGTGGCCTCCTCCAACGAGAAGCGCCAACCCAAGAGTCCCGGCCAAGCCCCGGCTAAGCCCATGCAAGAGATGCCATGCCAGAGGCCGCTCCTGGGAGACACCATGGTAGGCCACCTCCAGAAGAACGGGAAGAAGCCCCCTTTGGAGTCCCAGGGGGCAGCCCTGGGCCTCCAGCAGTTTGCGGACGTGTCCAACAACAATGACTTCTACGTCCTTTAACCACCGATGGTGGCATCCGCTGGAAACGCAGCAGATCTGAGGAGGAAGGAGGGAAGGCTGGCCTGCATTGAGGACCTCTTGGAAGCCATGGGACCAGTCAACCAGAGGATGTGGGGGTGGGGTGGAGTGGTTGCCTATGGAGGGAGCTGGTGCTTGGGGACTGCCCTCCCTCCCCCAAGGGTCTCCTTACCTGGGCCAAGGTGGAGATTTGAACCCTCTCCAAAGCCAAGTCTAAGAGCCGGCCATGGAAGAGAAGCTGAGCAGATGTGTCCACCATAACAGGTCCCGTCATGGAGAGGTGTAGAAGGTTCTTCCCTCTTTTAGAGGTCAGCATTTGCCCCCCCCTCCCCCAAGGGTCTCCTTACCTGGGCCAAGGTGGAGATTTGAACCCTCTCCAAAGCCAAGTCTAAGAGCGAGCCATGGAAGAGAAGCTGAGCAGATGTGTCCACCATAACAGGTCCCGTCATGGAGACGTGTAGAAGGTTCTTCCCTCTTTTAGAGGTCAGCATTTGCCCGCCTTCATTCCAGCCATGTGAGGACAGGATGTTTGGGTACGCCGGTTGGGAAGGCTGGGTCTCGTAGTCCCCCCGGAAAGTGGGATGGAGAATGAGGAGAACGTCAGGTGGGCTCATCTGACCTTTGGCCTTAGGTTCAGAACCACAGAGGGGGCTCAGTAATCCATCAACCAACCAACCAATCAATCCGAATAGAGCTGGAAGGGGCCTCGGAGGTCTTCTAGTCCAACCCCTGCTCAATCAGGAGACCCCAGACCATTTCGGAGAGGTGGGCCGTCCAAGAAGAATTTAAAACCAGCAACAGCCGCCCACCCACCCAAATTATTGGGGAGCCATATTCAGGAAGGTTTCAGGGGAGAATCTCAGATGAACCAACCCATCCACGGTTGTTTTGTTTTTAATTTAATTGTTGATTTAATTTACCAAGGCCGTTTTCCATTCTCTCTGGCTCCGTTTTTGCCATCTGGAAAGACATTTTAATCGTGTTTTTCTTTTAAATACGTCTTTTCTTTTCTTAAAGGGGCTGTATTTTTATTTTGGTTTTGGGGGAAACAGAGAGTGTCGGAGGAACGCTGGGAAAGCAAGTGGCTGAAAATTAAATTTTCATTTCTGTGAATGGGTCTCTGGAAGCATCTGTGGTGGCACCGGAGGCCGTCCCTGCGTGCTTCTCCCACACGTCGCATGTCGATTTATTCCTGCCTGAAGCTGTCAACAGGGGTCTTCAGAGGGGAAACAGGATGTAGCCCCCCACCACACACACACACACAGCCCCCAGCCCCCTCCTCAATCGGCCTCCCTCCTTCTGTCCCCTTTGCGCACCCAACGCCTGCGCTGGCTGGGAAGAGGAGCCTCACCAATTAATCTCAGGTAGTCCTTGGTTTGTGACGGGCAGGGTCACAATATGGGTTTGCGACCTTTTTCTGCAGCGGCTCTTCAGGAAGCGCTGTGGTTGTAAAATGTCCTCCGCGGTCCTTCCGCGAGCGAATGGTTTGCTCTGGGCCGCTCGGGCTGAACGCCACGTTTGAGCAAAACCGTGTCAGAGCAAAGGAGTTGGAAGGGACCTCGAAGGTCGTCTAGTCCAACCCTCTGCCTGAGCAGGAGACCCCAGAGGTGGCTATTCAGTAGGTTCTGACCAGTTCTGGAGAACCGGTAGCAGAAATTTTGAGGAGTTCGGAGAACCAGCAAATTCCCACCTCTGAAACGGAGATTTTGCAGTTTCCTTCCCCTGCCACGCCCACCAAGCTACGCCCACAGAACCGGTAGTAAAAACATTTGAATCCCACCCCTGGGAGACCCTAGACCATTGCAGACTGGTGGCTGTCCAGTCTCTTCTTCAAAACCTCCAGTATTGGAGCATTTACAACTTCTAGTGGCAAGCAGTTCCACAGTTCCTCGCTTCGTCCCTCCCTTTTCCCCTCCTTTCCTTCTTCTCTTCCTTTCCTCCCTCCCTACATCTCTTCTTTTCTCCTTCCTCCCACCCTCCCTTCTTTCCCCTCCCTTTTTTCCTCCTTTCCTTCCTTCCTTCCCTCCCTCCCTCTCCTTTTCTCCTTCCTTCCTCCCTTTCCCCCCTTTCCTTCTTTTTCCCCTCCCTACATCTCTCCTTTTCTCCTTCCTTCCTTCCACCCTCCCTTCCTCCCTCCATTATCCCCTCCTTTCCTTTTCTTCCTTTCCTCCCTCCCTACATCTCTTATTTTCTCCTTCCTCCC